CTGCTGCCTTTTATACAGAGGCAGCAACACAGGGAGGCAGGCACCTCTCAGGGTGCTGATGCACACTGGGAACCGGCTTTTAAGCCAACTCCCTGCACATACTAGGAGCCTGTATGTAACCTCTGATATTTTATATGGTTAATTAATTAAATAAATGCATTTTAACATCCCTACCATGTTAGTGGCTAAACATGAAACTGATATATAATCTTCAGGGGTTTGAAGCAATAAACCATCTCAGGCATTGATGTTAAAGTTTATGGTGTTTCAGTGCAAGGGGCTGAAAATAGCCACTCAACAGCAGTGACCCGATGGTTAGAAATAAGCAAAAATGAGTTTGTGTATGGTCAGCCCTCCAAGAGTTACTTTCACCCTCAAAGTAAAATTTAGAGCCCATCATTTCCTGGGAAATAGGGCCTGGCCCACTAGAATTGATATTTTAGGTTGTAGATATTTCTCTTTTTCCAGAGCCACACAAATGGATGCACAAATAAACATGTTTCTACTCTTTGTGTCAGTGCACCTTGTAAGCAAGAACAACGAGAAGAAAAAAACCTTACTTTTTTTTTAATAAGGGTGGAGGCTCATGTAATGTGTAGCTGGCCTATGCGTGCCAAAACAGGGCTGGCAACATTATCTAGATAGGTCTCAGAGATTTGGGTAAAAGTCTACGATGAAATCAGAAGATAAAGCAAAATTATTCAGACCCAGTAGAGGGGAAGTATGTTGTATATTACGGGTAAGGCTATGATTGTGTCAGAGGTCATGTACATCACAGAATCCATGACTTTCAGAGATCTCTAAGTAGGGTTGTCAGGTGTCCGGCATTGGCCTGGACAGTCCGGTATTTGCGGCCTGTATCTGGTAAAAAAAACCAAACAAACCCCAAAACCCAGAAATGTCAGGTATTTTCTGATTTTCTCAGACGGAAGGCTGCTTGGGACATTCTTCCCCTGTCCCGTCTGATGGGGGGAGCGGAGTGTGTGGGGATTTAAAGGCGCAGTGACTTTTTTTTTTTTCCTCAGCCAGTTTTTCCCCGCCATGTTTGGTATTTTTTGTGAAAGTATCTGGCAGCCCTATCTCTGAGACACTTTCTGCTTCAGCCCCAGCATGGCAAGGCTGGAGCTGGCAACTCAGGGGGACCCAACCATTCTCAGTGGGTGAGGGGGACCCCAGAGTCGCAGCAGCACTTAGGGTTGCCAGGTGTCCGGTATTGTACCGGATAGTCCGGTATTTGCACTCTGTCCGGTAAAATAAATCAGACAATACCGGACACGTACAATGTCCGGAATTTTCTGATTTTTCCAGCTGTGCACCGGACGGAAGCCTGGCGTGGGTGGGGAGAGCAGCTGGGATTCCCAGCTGGGAAGCGGGGCCGCGATTGCTGCTGGGAACCCTCAGTTAGTTGAGTGTAAGGAGGAGGGGAAGCCTCCTCCTCGCTCGTGTGTCGCCGGGACCCTGCATGGGAGAGGCAGCACCCCAGCCCCGCTCCCCGCTGGCT